AGAAGGGTTCCTTTCTCCCCACACCCCTGCCAGCATTTGTTACTGGTTGATTTCTTGATAGCAACCATTCTTTCTGGGGTGAGGTGAAATCTCAGTGTTGTTTTCATCTGCATCTCTTGAATGACCAGTGATGCTGAACATTTTTCGTGTATTTGTTTGCTGCTTTTACTTCTTTGTTTGAGAAATGTCTGTTCATTTCAGATGCCCATTTTTGCATTGGGTATTTGAATTTGGGGGGTCTGATTGTTTTCAATTCTTTATATATTCTAGATAATAGTCCTTTGTCTGAGGTACAGCTGCTAAAAAATTTTTCCCATATTGTAGGTTCCATGATGCCTTTATGAAAATCAAAAACACAAACTTTTCCCTCCCAGCGACACAGGCCCAAACCAGATGGCAGGGCCTTGTTAGTGGAGGGAGGAAGTGGGCACCACTCCATAAAGTGTCCTTGGCTCCACTATCTTCCACCCTGCTGAGCCAGGTGCTGGAATCCACTCTGGGCCTTCCCTCCTCTTCTTCCCCCTCTCCCCACTGCAAGCTCTTTCTACTGTGCTTCTCCAAGAGGCCAGGGTCTTCAGAGAACAAAGCCCTAGAAATGGGGCCATTTGTTGGAAAAACAGGCCCAGAGCAGAAGCGCTGAGCTTCCAGACCCCTTCCGAAAGAAGGACTGCTTGACATCAGGACCAGAATCACCAAGCCTCCAAAAGCTTGACTTCAGCAGTACACCACAAAGCCCAAGACACCAAGGGCAGTAGAGGTCCCGCTGCCCTCAAGGCCCATAGGAAGGCCCAGTGCATGTTGCCACAACCTGAAACGGTCCATGGACTGTGATGGAAAGGCCTCAGATCCCCGCACTTAAAGGAAGAGCCCACCTGAAGCACAAGTTCAAAGGCTTGCTGAATTCGCCCCTCCTATACTGTGTGCAGCCACCAGGTGGCAGCCGAGGCCACAGGCAGAGGGAGAGCAGCTCCTGAAACTCAAGGCCAAAAGGTTCAGGAAACCCCCAGGACCTTCATTTAGAGACAGCATGTGCGTGCTTGTATGGATGTGTGCATTTGTGTGTGCATGTGTGCACTTGTGTGTCTGTACTCTCAAGGGTCAGAGGGATATGGATAGACATACAGGTAGACAGACTATTAGAGTTTAACCCTCTTCTTTTGCATGGCTTCACCCCTCTGAGGGCTCCCGTTCCTCTCTCCAGCCCTATCCTGGGTGCTGGTGATCCATAGAAGGATGCGACTCTGTTCCTGCCTTTGAGGAGCTCCCAGACCTGGAGCCAGAGCTGGGCACATAAGTGAGCCGATATGGCCATGAGGTGGGTACAGAGGCTGGACACCTAAGCTGATCGTAGGTTGCTTGCTTCCTGGCAAGTCCATGTGCAATAATAACACATGTTATTTCTATTTCCCCCGGTGGCCCTACAGAAAAGCTATTACAGAGCCAATTTTACTGGCAGAAGAGTGAGGACCTGAAAATCTAAGGGGTCTCAGAGCACTGAGAAGCGGACCTGGAATTGGAACCAGCATCTGTATGATTCCCAAGCTTAAACTTTTGACTACTGTCCACACTTCTAGGGACTGAAGTAGAAGGAGAGGTGAGCTGAGGAGCCCAGACCGCCCACATACACCCAGATCTGCACAGGAAGCAGGTGCCTCCCACTCTCGCCCCAGAGGAAGCTCTGATGGCTGACTTGCAAATGAGGTTGGTCCAAGAAGATAGAAAAGCATGTGACCTGGGCACCACCCCAGCCCACACTCCCTGCAGTACCCTCTGCCCTGCAGTAGCCCTGGGTCCTTGAAATTTGTCGGATTTCTGCACATATTACCCTGAGTACCAGGGAAGTTATCTTGAAATTCATCCTGACCACCCAGCACTCTCCTACAACAGGAGTCTGCAGACAGACTCTAAGCCCTCGTCAAAACCACTCCAGGCTGGAAGTTTCTTTTCAAGTCTAACTGAAGTCAGCAGTGCTGCAATCTCCCTGCCCCTGTGCAGGGCCTGGGGGGTAGGCCTCCCTTTCCTGGGACGCTTCTCTTTGAGTTTGGTTGCAGCCTATTATGTTACCCCGTGAAATTCACATGTTTTGAGTCAGAGGGGAGAAAGAAAGGGGCAAGCCGTTTCAGAAAGCAGAAGGCGCCTCTACTTTCCTGCAGAGCCCAGTGGAAGGGATTGCTGAGGCATGAAGTGAGGCTCCAGTGAGTCAGGGACTTACAGACCAAGGGGGCAACACCTGGGAAGTTTGGGGCTGGGAGCTGGGGCAACTGGGAGAACTAGCCGAAAACAGAGGAAATGCAAGGAGGGAGAGACCCTGGGCACTGAGCTCCCATGGAGGAGGGAGAAGGACAAAGGATGCAAATGAACAGAGACAAAGAGGTGACCAGGGCAAGAGGCAGGGTACTACAAGGCTAGTGGGATGCCTGGGAGGGGGCAGGAAAGGGCACAGGAGCAGGATCCCAGCCAGTCCCTCCCCTAGTTTGTCACTCAGGGAGCTCTGGACCCCTCCCTCCCCCAGGGCCAGAGGTGGAAGCTGGCCTCCAGCCCCTGGCCCAGCCTTCGAGACCCCCAGGGGACTGGTCCTGCTGCCCATAGATGGTGGGGGCCCAGCTGGTGCGTTATCAGCCTCCTCCAGGATGGAGCCTGAGCCACTCAACGGCTGCTAGTCTGAGATTAGGCCCCCGGGGGGTCATTAAGCAGCCGCCCTGGCCTGGGCCCAGCCTCTTTCCCTCCCTGATCAGACCAGGCTGGCAGGTGGGAGTCAGTGATAAGGAATGGGGGGGTCTTGGCTGTTCTAGGCCGGCAGGCAGTTCCATGCTCCCGGCCCCCGGTCAGGGCAGGAACACGGGGTGGGGGCGGGGCAGTAAGGTCAGTGCCAGCCCCAGCCCCTGCAGGGTCCCCAGGGTTCCCACCGTCCTAGTCCTGCCCAAACTGAAAGAGACAGAATAGGAAGGACAGCGAACCTCTCAGAGCAGGGTGTGAGGACTCCTGCCCCAGGGCGGCTGCTGGGAACAAGGGGGTCCAGGCCTCACAGGTGGCTCTGACAGGCCAGGCTGGTGACCAGACTAGGGAACCCACCTCCACCTTCCAGGGACAATGGAGGCAGGGGTGGCAGGGGAGGGGACAGGGCCTCAAGCAGAGAAGATCAGATCCCAACCAGAAAGGAAGAAGGGAATTCTGTGCTTGAGCAGAGGTCTGACCCTCTGTAGCAGTGGTGCTGAACCTATGGCACATGTGCCACAGCGGGCTGTTTGTATCATTGAAAGCTCTTCAAGGTTCGCCATCACTGCTCTGTAGAAACCTCTGTCTCTCCTTCAGTGAGTGGGAAGGTAGGCTGGCGGGTCACCTGGCTTTGCTTTTTGGTTAATCAAGGAAGACTTCTCAGAGGAACAGGAACTTTGGCTGGGCCAAGAAAGGAAAACAGGTTAAGTTTAAACTGGCAGAGGTGAATGAGAAAGCATGAGTCACAGAAAACCACCTGAGCCAAAGCCTAGAGTAGGACTCAAAGGAGCATCAGCCATAGTTAAAGCCAAAGCCCCGAGAAGGGAGGTGACTTGCCTAAGGTCACACAGCAAGGCAGCAAGGCCTGGAGCCAAGACACTGCTTCCCACTCCCTGCTCAGGAAGCATCCTAAGCCCCTCCCACTCCTTCTGCTGCAGAACATGTCCCTATCCTGGCATCTGGGAATGCCCCAGTGAGTATCTCAGGTGATCGCCCCAAGCAGACAAGGTACTCCCCAAGACCAGCTTTCTCAGAGGTGAGTCCAGGACCGGCCAGGCCCTGAGTCTCCTCCTCTTCCTCTGCCTGCTACTCTGTTCCCCAAGGCCCACCCCAGGACTGTGAGTCAGGGCAATAGTGAGGACTGAATTCTACTCCTGCACTGCAATGAGACTAGCCAAATCCTCTGGGCTCAGGGCTTGACAGGAGCTGTCCAGGGATTACATAGCAAGTCGGCAAGGATGGAGGACTCAAATCTAGGCATCCTGACTCCAGCCCCAGACTCTTTCCTGGCACTTCCCATGCCAAAGCCCAGCACTCAGACTATGGTGAGGGGCGCAGAGCTGGATGGATGAGAGACAGTGAACTCTGCGCACTGCCAAGCAGCATGGAAGTAGGCGGGGTTGCTGCAAAAAGAACGGCCCAGAATCTCAGGTAGCCAGCTTCTGCCCTTCAGGAAGCTCACCTGTGGCTGTGGCTGAAGGGAAGGCTTGGCCAGAGGAGACAAAGAGCACTCAGGGGCAGGTGGTCTCCCTGCACCTGGTCTCTCTGACTCCCGTCTCGGGGCTCACACTGGAGCTCATCCCCCACGCCATTCAGACTCCAGGAAAGACAGGCCCGCTGTCCACCTCACCAGGCTGTCAGGTCTCACCCTGGATGGCCTGCCTCCCACCGCCAGCCCAGCTGCCCTGTGGCCCGAGAGCTTCCTGGGTAATCCTCCAAAGCCACCGTGACGGGGCTTCAGAAGGTGATCGTCCTGACAGAAAGAAAGATGCGCCTCACTGGAAGCCTGAGGGGCTATTTCTGAGCCTCAGCCTCAGACATACAAAAAGTCTTTATTTCACAGAAAGAAGGGCCATTTCCATGCTCATGGGGGAGGTGAGAGGCATGATGGGGGGTGCTGAGCTGGCTATCATTTCAGAAGGCTTTTCGGAGTTGGGTAGGACACCCTCAGGAAGGCTCAAGGGCCACAGCCAGCCCCCACTTGGACATGGTCTGAGCCCCAACCTTGGCCGGCTGTAACTCAAGGGTGTCAGCCCACTCTTCGATTCCCGCACAGCAAAAGAAGTGGCTGAGTGGCACTGGCATCTATCGCAGGTGCCTTATTGCCTCAGGTGAGCCGGGTCACATTTGGGTGCTGTGGACCTTGCCCTCCTCCTCCAGGACATTCTCATAGGCATTCTTGTGCTCACTGGACCTGGAAGAGAAGGCAGGGCCCTGGTGGATCATCAGGCCTCTCACCCATCCCTGCCCCATCCTGGGCTTGCAAGGGCAGTAATTTCCAGAATAAACATTTGGGACCCCTGAAGGGCTATGCACCTGGGCTGGAGGCCCCTCAGCACATCTCCCGAATCCCGCATCCCTCTTCCTCGAGCTCTTCCTTTGCTGGATCCTCCGTTGACCGCACTCCCCAAGCTCCCTCCACTATTGAGCCCTCTTATACACTGAGCTCCTCCACTCATACGCCCCTTCAGTGAATCTCTGTCCCCTGTTGAGCTCTTCTTCCCCATAGCACCCACTGCCCTGTGAGCATCACCAAATCTCCCACCAGGTCCCCATTCCTTAAAGGAACCCCCTCACCAAACTGAAGTTTTGCTTGCTCATGGAGTCCTGAAATCCTGACAGAGACCCCATCACCTCATGGCCCTTTCCCACCCCACCCCCAGCAACACCTCTTTCTAATCCTCCCTCCCCCTCCCCCCGAGTTCCTGGAGCACAGGGCAGGCAGCCCTGTTCTGGCCCCTCACCTGAACCCAGCCACCGTTGAGGAGTACCTTCCATCCATTCCCACCAGGACCCCATCCGCCATGTTTCCAACAGTCATGACCATGGCTCCAGGCTCCCTAGGCATGGGACGTGTCAATTACCCCCCATCCCACCCCATCCACGAAGACCCTATTTTGGATCCTGGTTCTGACAAGCCCAAGGGAGAGGCTGCCCCTTCACAGATGTACCTCTGTCCAGAGGGCTCTACCAATGGCCTGGATCTGGCCTCATCCCACTAGGGCCTCACAGCCTTCTGCCTGCTCCGAAGTGGGGGCTGGAGAGTTGCAAAAGACTTATCCCAAACCCAAAGCCTCTCTCCACTGCACCCTACCACACTCACCTCAGCCCCCAGAGCAGACCTCACAGGTCTGTCTGCCCCAAATTAGCAGTAGACAGGGTCACTGGAAAAGCAAATGGTTCCTATGTGCCTTACCTCTTGCTCAAGCATAAACCTGCTGCATTGTAGGCTCTGTCCCCACCCATCCTTCCCTGTCTGACCCCAAAGGGACATCAGACCTAACATGTCCCAAATTAAACCCAGCAGTTGCCCATCCTCTTGTGTCCTCAGTGAGGTTCCTGGGCATCACCCCTGTCTTTTCTCCTCTGCTATGTTCATCCAGCAGCTCCCAGGAGCCCACCTTCGAGATAGCTCTAAGATCTGTCCCTTCTCCACATCACCTCTACCACCTCTGGGTCCAGACCCTGTCCCCACCTCCTGCTCACTGCTCTCCATGCCTGCAGACTGTTCTCACCTGCCCTGCATCAGCAAGTGTCATGCTTAAAGACTTTTCACGGGACTCCTACCACGCAAGTTAAAGCCCGAAATCCATGCACAAGGCCCTGCTTGGCCCCAGTCCTGCTCGCCTCCCCAACCTCATCTTGGCTTCTCCATTCCTCCCTACCCACTAAGCTGCCTGTTTCCTCTGCAGGTTGCACTTGGCTACTGCTGACCCCTGGCCACCAGACCACCTGTATGAGAGCAGAGAAAAGTTGCTCCAGGGATAGATGCAGCCTTGACACCGGGATCTGGCCTGGCAAGTGCAGAGTGGCTCTTGCCCTCTGTGCATTCATGTCTGACAGACCCCTGCACCCCACACCCAACTGACTCCCCTAGTGCTTCAGGCTGCAGGACAGATGTGCTACCTGGAAACCTTCTCTGCCCTGCCCCCCACCGGCTCAGGCTTTGCCCTGCACTCTGCACTCTGCTCATCCAGCCTGTGAGGTCCCTCTGCACTGGCACTGACCCTCCAAAGGGATGAGACCTTGTTTTCCAGAAGGAAACCTGGGCAGCTACCCTGACTCTGCAGATGGAAACACTGAGATTGCCAGGAGACAAGGTATTCCCCAAAGCTCACTGGGAGGTATGGGACAGACAGAGCCCAGGTCTGGGAGGCTGCAAGCCTGAATGCTCCTTTTGACTGTCACCAACTCACTCTGTGCCCTTGAGCCTGTTTACCACTGCGCACCTCGAGAGGACTGACCCAGGCTTTCTGAGCCCTTCTCACTGCTACTAGAACAAGAACAGTGGTCCTGGGGCACACCCTGCCAGCTCAGGGGAACCCAGCCCAGGGCCCTCGGGCAGCACTCACTGCTCTTCCTGGCACCAGAAGTGGTTGACAGCGAAAGCAATTGCAACGAGGACCAGGAACACTGCCACTGCAATGAGGCCCTGCATCCAGGGCTGAAGGTTCCCCAGGCCTGAAAAAGAGAGGGGGCTGCAAGGGCAGTCCTGCCCCTAACACTGGGGCCTGTGTTGGAGTCCATCAGCTGCTGCTGGACCGAGGGAGACACTTTGGGCTTCTAGGGGTGGGAATGAGGGTCCATCTGACCCCACTGAGCATGAGAATAAGGACAGTGTTGGAAAGAAAAGAAGACAGAAGTTCAAAGAAACCTGAGCAGTCATGGATGGAATGAGATTAAAGGGCAGTGTCTGAGATCTGGGCAGCCCAGAGCCTTGCTACCACCACCCCATGCAGGGCCCCCCAGGGAGTGCCTGGGCCCCAGGGACTAAAGGGCAGCCCTCTGGATAACTGGCCTAGGCCTCGCTCGCTGGGAGTGGCTGCCCTCCTCCTTGACAGCTCCCAGCAGACTGAAGGGTGGCCCAGAGCTCTCAGGTTGGGGCTGGCATCTGGAAGATCCTGTTCTGTAGCCAGAAGCGCTCCTCTGGGAGGAGCCTGGGAAGGTGTGAGGTCAGTCAGGCAGGTCAGTGGGGTTCCCAGTGAAGTATGAGAGCAGGCCAGGAAGGAAGCTTCAATGTGAGCCTTGTTTGCTCCTCCAGCTGAGTGCCCAGAGCACAAGGGCCAGAGATCAAGTCAGGCCCAGCCATGCACCTTCTCTGCTTTCTGACCCCTGGCACCAGCTCCAACCCTCAAGATTTCCCAGAAGTCTGCCTCTTGGCCACTAGCAGCCCTGGGAACTCTCCTCTTTCCTGGGCGTCACTGTGCTCTGGGGCCTTGCAGAGGAAAGACACCCAGAGGTAAGTATCCCATGAGGGAATAGAGGTCAACAGGGAACATCTGGAGATCCCCTTCCAGACATAGCATCTGTATTCCTAGAGCCGTCCTGTAAGAGGTTCAGGTTGGACATGGAGAAACCTCACTCTGCTTTACTTCCACTCAAAAGTCCTCCCTTGAGTCTACCCTAAATCTCTCCTGCTTCAGTGAAAACATAGTCTCTTCTTTGAGCTCTTTCTGAGCCTGGCAGGTGTTGAGAAAGAGGGAGTATTGTGGAACTCTCTGGCCTGAGGCCAGGTCAGACTTGGTTTAGCACCAGGGGTAACAGAAAATACACAATGTGGTTACCCTGCAAAGATCAGCATGTGGACTCATTGCCCCCAGAGAAACAGTGGCACGGGCCCATTGCTTTCTCAGCTCAGTGATTGCTCAAGCACTAGCAGTAACCCTGGGAGGCCCCCTCCTGCTTCCCAGACACACCAGGGACCACAGTCCCCTGTAGAGGTAGAGCCTGGGACAGGAGAAAGATAACCTCTGTCTGTCCTTTCTTGACCTGCTGTGTGACCCTTGTAAGTTATTCAACCTCTCTGGTTTCTTCAGTTCCCCAGAGAACGTCCAAGACCTGGGAGACAGAGCAAAGCAAATGTGCACAAGAGCCTAGGAGAGGAAGCTCTGGATCCAGGTCTGCCAGCCCTCTTTGGACCCGGGCCCCATGCAGTCACTAGGCTCTGGCCACAGACGCAGCCCGACAGAGCAGGGAGGGTGCTAGGCCTTGGGGTGTGGTTCTTCCCCAGGCACACAACCCTGATCTGGCAGAAGCTGTGGGAAGTGTCGGGTTGGAGTTGACTGTCCTAATTTTATGGGTGAGAAAACTGAATCTTAGAGAGGGGCAGTGATTTCTTAAGGCCACACAGCAAGACAGAGTTAGCAGGACAAAAAGCTAAGGTCGTGGTGGGGGCCACATGCGTGCTGTGCTCCCTACCCCAGCCCAAGGAAGCAGAGACTGTGAGCCCTTAGGTCAACGCCACGGGCAAACTCTGACAGTACTGCCCTCCCAGGAGCAAGCCTGCCCTGCCTTGGAGAGGTGGCTTGGGCCCCCTCCCGCCATCCTTGTAGCCCTGACCCCGGCCCTCAGGGCCCAGCCATCTCCAGGGCAGTTTCTGCTTGGAGACTTGGGTCTCAACTCCTGATCCTGCCCCAACTCCCAGACCCAACATTTCCCCTGCTGGTCCCAAGTCACAGACAGAGGCCTGGCTGGCCCATGCCTGCTCCTTTCCAGTACAACTGTTGGAGTGGGAGATGCCAGGACACTACCCCACTCTCCCCTGGGGCCCCAGTGGCCAGCCCAGCCTCTCCTCCCTGCAGCCACCAGGACTGTCCCCTGTTCTGCGCTACCTTGTTGACAGCTGGCAGGTGGCACTGCAGTGAGCAGGCCCAGAATGACCAGGCTGAGGGCCAGCATGGCTGCAGACAGCTCCTGGGTGTTCGCTCCCCTGCCCGTGTCTGGCGTCCTGGAGCTTCACGGGGCCTGGCAGTGTGAACCTGAGGTAAAGCTGGAGCCAGTCTGACCCTGGAGGACAGAAGCAAGTAAGGAAGAAAGCGAGGGAGGTGGCCGAGGGAAGACGAGTGGGTGGTGGAGGAAAAGTGCCCTCCCTCCCAGGGAAATGAGCTGCCTGGCCAGGCCTCCCTGGCTGGTACCCAGCCCACTGAGCTGGTATTCGAGGCCACCTTCAGAGACCAGCTAAGGAGGTGGGGCTGAGGGCCAAGGAGATAGAGGGAAATCCCAGCCTGCCTCAAGTCCCAGATTGCCCCAGAGGCTCTGCCTAAGCTCCCCCTTCCCCAAGGTGTGGCCAGGCTCTGAGGAAAGAAGTGACACATTGTTTCTCCTGCCTAAATGAGTGCAGTGGGTGGGGCTTCTTGGAAGGCTGACAGTAGGATTAAGAAATTGGGGGGCTGGCTCAGGAAGCCTGGGGAAAACCCCAAAGAGCCAGGGAAGACTCAGAGCTGCCCACTTCCCCCAGAGCCTGTTCTCCTCACCTAAGCTGGACTCTGGGCCCCAGTGAGGCTGGGACACAATCCAGCATCACTGCCCCCAGCCCCAGAGGTTTCCTAAACCCACCACTCCCATAGATCACAACAGGGTCTGAAGGACCCAGCCTCTAGCCTTCCCAGCCCAGCTGACCCTGCACGGGCTCTGAACACTGGGGAGGCCTCCCTCGGACAAGACCTGAGCTTAGTCAGAGGCCTCAACACCTACCCTCAGACAAATAGCCAAAAAGTGGGTGGCCATGGGATTGAATCCCTATAACCCCCTGCTCAGGCACAGGCCCTGGGTTTGTGAGAGCCTCCACTGTGCCAGCTGTTCCTCCTCGCACTCACCAATAACTCCTGCTTCTGTGAGACCTAAAACCACAAGATGTACTTTGCCCACCTGCTTGTGATAAGTGTTCAGCCATCCCCTGGCAACAGCTACCCCAATGTCCCAGGTGTAACCGTTTGCAGCTTGGGTGCGCAAGGCACAATCAATCAGGTTTAATTGCCAATCTAGAACCTTGCTGTAACTAGTATAAAAACCCCTGCTGATTTGGAGTCAGGGCTCTCAATTTTGACCCGCTGTGGCGGTGACAGTTGGGAGTCCCTGCTCGAGCTTGAATAAACGATCCTCATGTGTTTACATTGGAATCGGCTCCTTGGTGGTCTTTGGGGACCTCGAAATCTGGGCACAACACTTCCAGTCCATGAAGAAAGGAAAAGAAGAAGGGAAGGAGGAAAGATGGAGGATGGAGGGAGAGAAAGAAGAGAAGAGTAAATGGAAGGCAGGTGGGAAGGAAGGAAGGAAGGAAAGAAGGAAGGAAGGAAGGAAGGAAGGAAGGAAGGAAGGAAGGAAGGAAGGAAAGAAGGAAGGAAGGGCACTTCCCAGAAGCCAGGGCCTGAGCAGGAGGCCCCTCCACAGCCTCCCTGCCCAAAGCCACCAAACTGTTGCCCAGAGAACCCGTTGGCAGCCCTTTCCCTAGCAGGATTGCTCTGCCAGTGGGAGCACGCAGACACCACAACTTGCCCCTGCTTCATGCCTGTATTCGCGCAGTGGGCCCATTACCAATCAAATCTGGGCTATTTACTCTCAAGGTGTTCTAGGGGAACGTCACATGGATTTGAGTGGTGCCTCCCATACACATGGATTCCGTCCCCCTCCTGCTCTGGCCAGGTGTGAGACTGCAGGCACAGTCTGGAGCAGGCACTGTGCCTGTTAATAAATAGCCAAGGAATCGCTGGTTGGAATGTAAGGAATGGAGTTGAATTTAACAAATATCCAGTAACCCCATCCTCAGGGTTTCAGGCAGGGGAGTCACGGTCAGATCTGCATTTGGGGATTGAAAGGAACATCAGAGAAAAAAAAAAAAAGAAACAGAAACAGAAAGGGACATCAGAGAAAGGGGCATCTGATTGGGAGGTAGGAAAGCCAGGGCATGGTCTCTAGAACAGTGGCTAGCTGGGAAGTGGAGGGAGGTGACTTCCAGGTTACATTTCTGGCTCTGGTAGCTGAGTGGGTGGGTGGTGGAACCTCGGAAGGAGCCAGAGCAAGTTGGGAGGGAGGGGTGTGTGAGAGGCTACAGGCCTAGGTGCACTGTGTGTGGTGCATGGGCCCTTCAGAGGGAGCCGTGTAGAAGGCAGCAGATTCTCTGGGTCTGGAGTAGAGTTAGATGCAAGAGACACCTGTGGCACAGTGATGATAACTCCGGGTGGGAGCACATGTCACCCCTCCAAGGCCTGTGCATGTCCACGTATGTGTGTCTATGTGTGTCCAGAGACAGGAGCAGAGTGAGGACCAGGATGTGGCTCCTCATGCAGTGTTGCAAAGGAAGAAGAGGCAGGATAGAGCAGGAAGACAAAATGCCAGAAAAGTGGAGCATCCTGGGAGTCAAGGGAAGACAATGAATCCATCCCTACAGGCCAGTGCCCAACCTCTGCCATCAGTTCCTGGGTTCTGCCTTCCTCGCTCAAACATTCCCCACTTCCCCAAAAGCCCTAAGGAAAGGCAAGGACTCCCTGACCAGGCTTTAGGAACTGAGGGGACTGGAGGAGGGAGGTGAGCAGACAGAATATCAGGTGACCAACAGAAGGAAAACACAGCTCCCAGGTCAAAGTCCCAAACCTTCCACAAAACAAGTTGTTCCAAGGAAGGGGGGTGTGAGTAGACACCATCTTTGCAGCTGGTCCCGCTCTCTGGAGAGCCTCCTGAGAGAGAAGGGGTCGCCTCCCTGCTGTGTGGACAGCCCTGATCCCCGTGGCAGCAAGCTGGGCCCCCTTGCTCGTCCGGCTTAGGTCTGAGGTCTCAGCAGCCCTTGGGGCTGGACCTTGAGTCCTCACTTAGGAGCAAATGTTCCATGAATGCTTATTTCCTCCCTCCTCTACCTAGCCCAGCTCTGCCTCTAGAAATCATCGGCTGCAGCTCCTGTACTTATCCTTCAGGAAAGCCGGAGTGGACCCGGGCTGTTTCCAGGAGTTCCCTTCCTCCCCATCCCATCTTGCATGCCATTCCATTTGTTCCCAGCGGGTGGCAGTGTCTACTCCAATCCCAGACTGGTGGAAGGCAGGCGGCCAGTTTGCAGCTGGAGATTTCCCAACTTCCCCTACCTTCAGCCCCCACTTCCACCCACTCCAGTGGTGGATTGGAGAAAGGGAAAGTGGACATTAGCATGTAACTGTCATGCTGGGAACAACACACATGGATGCACAGGGCTGCTATGTAGGACAGAACAAGACAACTGAAGGCTGCTATTAAAGCAGTCTTGGAGGAGGCTATACTAAGGGGAAAGTTAGCTGGATGGTTGGACTGTGCAGAAAGATGATGGGCAGCATCCAGGCAGGGAGCTCGGCCTGAAGAGAGCAGGGCTAGAGAAGGGAGCAGAGAAGTGAAAGCTTCCTTCACTCAATGTTACAGTGCCTCTCCTCACTAATATCTTTGATGCTAGTCCGGGAGCTCCTAAACACTCATTCATTCAAAGAGGTACTGTGAAACCCTTTGATGGTCTCCACTGACCTTTAAAATACTGTCCAACTGGGGCTGGGGATTTAGCTCAGTGGTCCTGGCACCTGCCTTGCAAGCAAAAGGTCCCAAGTTCGACCCCTGGTACCAAAAAATAAATTAATAATAATAATAATAATACTGTCCAACTTCTTTCCTGGGCTCACAGGCTGGCAAAATGTGCCCTCACCCTCCTCTGCAGCCTCATCAACTGCCCCAGTGCTTCCTGCAACAGGGCCAGCTCCCTGCCGGCTCGCCCTCTGCTTAGAGCACCCCCCTGTAAGCCTGCAAACTTATCCTCCAAGTCTTCTGTCAAGGTCACTTTCTCCAAGAAGGCATCTTGGCTTCCTTTCTCCCCCAGCAGTCTTCCCTGTGCATCTCTTTATAGCCATTGTGACAAATTGATATTCCATATTGATTTTGCTCTTCTAATACCTGTCTCCTCCGAGGGGAGGTGCATGTCTGCTCAGAACCTAATACAGAGCACACTGCCTGTGTACACACTCAACAACTCAAATGGGAAATTAAATCTGTGTGCACAGTGCCTGCCTCTGGTCTGAGCAAAAGCTCAGACAATGACTGTTGAGTGAATAAAACAGCTTAGCTCCAGTGGGGGCCTTGTCTCTCTCTCTCTATCCCGTAGCTGGGGTGTAGGCACTGGGCCTGACTTACCTGTGTGCATGAAGGAAGCATACATCACTGCACCTCAAGGGGGCCTCTCCAGCCCTGGTATGAGGGTGTCCCAGAGAAGGAGCTGAACCTTAGAGTTGCAGGCCAAGAACCGGGCCAACTCTGGAGACATCTGCCAAAAGCGCTCTAGCCCTTCCAGGTCTGAAGCCTGTGATTCTATTAACAGACTATGACTTTGTATTAACAGACTTTGTATTTAATAAGGTTCTGAGGAAGCAGGCTGGTACTGAGCTCCTCTCTTATGCTGTCAGGATTGCATTAACCTGACTCCCCTTCAGTTAGCTCCCCTTTCTAGGAGCCTTCAGGCAGAACTCAATATTCATGAAGGTGGACCGGGAAAACACTAAATCTGTATTTCACTAACCAAAATTTACCACTTTTTGCCATTAGTTATGAAGGCTACAAACCACAGCCCTCTGTGATGTTTTCCTATCACTACACTATTGCTGCAGACATCTGGATGTATCATTCATGTTGATCATTAATGGAAGTATCACAGTCATTGGACTTTCCATGAGATCTTGTCATTGAGTACATTGAATGATACACATAAATTACTAGATCTCAAACATATTTTTAATTTTTTGATAACTGCATTTCAATATAATTGATTTCCTTTGAAATGTCATGCATTTTATGTTCTACATCTAAAACATTTCTGAGAAGGGACCTGTAGGCTTCACAAGACTGTCCCAGGATTCCATGGCACAAAAGGGTTTAAGAAGTCCTGACTGGCTGGGAGCCTGTGGCAGGGCTGCCCAAAGCAATGCCATGTGATCTCAAGATCAAACCTAGAGAAAGACAAAACATTCAGGACAGAGGCTTCCTGGGGCTCAGAGGAAAGGTTATGATCAGATCAGATGGGGCTCATCCCTACCCAGGGGCCCCAGCACTGGGAGCTGAAGGGGCAGGAAGCACCAGCCTGGAGCCAGCCTAGCCAAGGAATGCACTGGCTGTGAATCCTGGGTCCTAGGCAA